CCATTGAGTAATCCATTTCAAGTTGTACTACTTTTTTTATTCAAAATATTGACCCGCTGTGGGGGAGGTATTAAAAGGAGTGGACCGATATATCTCATCTTATTAAAAATGTTGACCTTTGTGGAGGAGGTACCAGAACGTGTGAGCCGGTATATCCCATTTTTACACCCCATCTTGTAATGGTTAAAATATTGAGATGTACGAAATTCAAAGAGAATCTTATGCATATTTCACATTTTATGAGCGTTTTAAATATTCCAAATTTTGACCCTTTGTGGGGATGGTATTCAAAGGAGTAGTCCGATATATTCCATCTTCACATCAGTTATTGTTTTGGTTGGATGTGCGAATTTTGAATATAATCGGATGCTTATTTCGCATTTTTTAAGCGTTGTGGTTATTCTAAATTTTGACCCTTTGTGGAGGTAGTACCAGAAAGAGTAGTTTGCTATAATCCATCTTCACACCAGATTTTGTAATGGTACAAATATTGGTATGTGTGAAATCTGAAGAGAAACTGCAGTATATTTCGTATTTTATGAGCATTTTAGATAATCCAAATTTGGACCCTTTGTGGAGAGGGTACTAGAAGAAGTAGTCCGATTTTGTCCATGTTCGCACGCAATCTTGCGATAATGGAAATATTACGATTTGCAAAGTTTGAACAAAATAGGATTATTCCTATGCAATAAATTATTTTCTTTGCAAATATTGATATTTTGTGGGGGAGGTATCGGAAGGAGTAGACCGATATTGCCCATTTCTGAACTCGATATAAGTTACGGTGTACCAAGTTTGGACCAAATCTGTCACTCCCTTTGAAAGTTATCGTGCGCACCAGCCAACCGGACAGACAGAAGGACGGACGGATATCTCTAGATAGACTCCAAATATCCCTAAACGGATTTAGCCCAAAGGTACCTGGGATCTAGAACCGTTACTTCAATGAGGCACGTTTTGGCCGTATCAAATGATATATACCCTCTCTAGCCATATGGCTGAGGCTATAAAAACATTCAATAAGTATTTTCTTTGTAACATTAAACAATTTTGTTGCCAATCTTTATTAAAGCAAATTTTGCAAATATTTTCTCATTATTCATACATATATGTGCCATATGCAATCTTATTATGGAATTTAATTGCCAACAACAGAGTCATTTGAAGCAATTGTCAAATAGCTTTGTTATGACATTCGTATGGTCTATGAACACAATAATGGAATTCATTTGAAATCCAAAGGACTTCTAGTCCTTAACATATACAAAAATAAAATCTCTCATCATCTTCATAACTTTGTTAAAAGCATTTTTTTTGCTATAGATATTTACATTCGAAAGATATTTACCAACATTATTATATGTGCATATTTTGTGTGTGAGTGTGTGTTTGTTGGCCTTTGTTTGTTTGTTTTCTTGTTTACATGGATTTGAATTCATTTGTTCTGATATTCATATCTTCTACTTATGAATGTTGTTTCTTTATCTAAGGTAACCACAAGAAACCGAATTCCGACATAGACACATGAAATATATGAAATGTGGCAAATGTGTGTGTGTGTGTATGTGAAAAGTCCTTGTGTGGTATTCATAACATACAGGTGAAGTGGATCGTTCAATTAGACACGTTCATGTCATAAACACCACATCTTTAGTGACATCTTAGGAATTATGGACAATGGTAAATTATTTTGAAAAAGATATGTATACAAATAAATGTGCGTACTTGTTTGGAAATATAACTTACTTCGACTGTAAGTAAAGAATCCAAATCCTGTGCGAAAAGAAATTAAATAAAATAGCCCAGACATGGCAGTGATATATATTTTGGAAGCAAGGGTTTGACCTGAATAACAAATATTTTGCCAGTGCTACCAAGACGGGACCACTTTTACTATGATTCTCCAAAATTTAGCTTTAGTTAGGGTCTTAGCAGAGATTTCATAAATTATGCAATGATTTTATGGAGCTGTTTCAATTTTTTTTAAAAATGTAATGTCAAAACTTAATTAACTTATAACGGATTAAATGCATAAGACCACATCTTTTCGGCACTCAGAGTCATATCTTCATATACTGATAGAACACCGAAAAAGCGGTATTCCAAGAAGGGTTTTCAATTTCCCGAATAATTTTTAATATTATGACCCTTTGATAGCTTAAAAGTTTTATTGGGCCCTTTATATTATACTTTTATATCTGTCGAAAATTGTTCTACACCCGAAGAAAAATCGATCGGATAAGATGTCCAACTCCCTTGCAATAAATAAAACCAGTAAGAAAATGTCAAAAGTCGGACGAGGGCGACTATATGATACCCTACACCACTATGCAAATTTAGTGGAGCTTCCGTAACAAAAGATTTTTTGAAGTAGATCCTATCAACATTTGGCTTTACAGCAGTTATAGTTTGGTTTCAGAGGGTACAAATATATGGGAGGCATATCCTGTTCTGAATCGATTTTGTCGAATGCATATTACGAATATGAGGGACTTAAACACCAAATCGGATGAAACATATATATGGGCGCAAATTTGATGTACTTGCTTCTAGACTGGATTCGGTCGGATGTACCAAAAAATTGGAATTTTTGACAGATATTGGCCATTTGGTGCACAATTAACCCGAAATCGGTTGAATATATGAAAGCTATGTCCAAATCTGAACCGATCCTAATAAAATTTGGCAAAGGTATTTCTGGACTGTATCTGAATTCTGATACAAAATATCATTGTTGTCGAATACATATTACGAATGTGAGCGACTTAAAAACCAAATCGGATGAAATATATATATGGGAGCCTTAGCTATATCTGAACCGATTTTCAACAAATTTAATGTACTTGCTTCTATACAGAATTCGGTGGGATGTACCAAAATTCAGGCCATTAGGACTTATATTGGCCATTTGGTGCACAATTAACCCGAAATCAGTTGAAGATATATGGGAGCTATATCTAAATCTGATCCCTGTTACAATCAAATACATAAAATCATAATACCCTTACCATTATGTGGTGTCGGGTATAAAAAATTGGCTATTAGCGCTTCTCATAACAAGAACTACCTATGTGGACCATTTTTTAAACCAATTATTCTTGAAGAAATTCAAAGCTCTATACCAATTTTGAAGGCTCTGTTTTAAATGCGATATATATCTCAAAATATAAACGTTATTTTGTATATATGTCAAGGCTATATAAAAGCCTTTACAGGTATGGTCTAAGAACCCGATAGTCTAATGGAATTTTAATCTACAACCTGAGTACTATTAAATCCACTTGGAATTTTTCACAATCTAGCCTGGTTGAATTGAATAGCCCTGAAGTTCATAAAACGCGAAATGAGCATCCGGTTATTTTCAAACTCAACACATCGCAATATTTCTATCAACCCAAGATCAAGTGTGAAAATGAAATATGTCGGACCATTGCTTCTAGTACCTTCCCCACAACAGATAAAAATTTTGAATAATTATTATTTCTCATAAAATGCGAAATGAGCATTCGATGCTCATCAAATTCAACAAATCCCAATTTTTTTATTTACACAAGATCTGGGGTGAAGATGGTCCCACTCCTTCTATTACCTCCTTTTTACTTTTAACGGGACTCAAAAATTTGAATAATTAAAACGCTCACAAAATGAGAAATTAGCTTCCGATTCTCTTCAAATTTCAGACATCCTAAAACGATTTAGCCCTGTCCGTCCATCCGTTTGTTGTAATAACGCCATAGTCAAAACGAATAAAGATAGGAAGCAGTGATCTGTGTTTTGTCTGCAGGTAGGTCAATACGAAGATGGGCTATATCGGTACACGATATCACACAGCTCTCATATGACGATGCCCCCGATTTTGAAGATTTTAGTCCCATTTTTCAATGGAATTGTCTGAAATTCTACACAAGAAGTTCTTTGTGGCCTGAAGTGGCCCCTGAAAAAGAATTGTCTTTATATGTCCACGATATCGTATATCCCCACATAACTGTACCTCCCGATATTCAGTATTTTAATGATTTTAGCAACATTTTTTTTATGGAATTGTCTGAAATTCTACACAAGAAGTTCTTAATGACCATTTTACCCCCCAAAAAAGTATTCAATTGAATTGTCTGAAAATCCACACAATCAGTTCTTTGTGAATACTTTATGCCCTGGAAAAGAATAGTCTATATAGGTCCACGTTTTAGCATAGCAACCATATAACGGTACCTCCAGATATTCGGCATTTTCATGATTTTAGCGACATTATTCATCGGAATTGTTTTGGTATTTGAAGTTCGTAATGGGTACTGCAGCCTATGACGGAAAATTGTCTATAAAGGTCTACGTCTTAGTATAGCCCCCATAAAACAATACCTCTCTTTATTCGGTATTTGGATGATATTAGCGACATTAGTCACCGGAATTGTTTTAAATTTCGTACAATTACTTATGCACCAACACGTCTTTGTATGCCACCCTAAAAAAGGTTTTAATTTAAGCGGTCTTTTTTGACGGATTTTTTTTTTAATTTTTCAATTTCCTTCCGAATGGTATAAAAAGTTCGACCCGGCCGAACTTAGATGTTTTTTTTTTTTTAATATTGTGAAAACCAATCACTTTTCTCCACAGCAAATATGCTTGTATAATTTTGTGGGATACATTGTGCTATTTAATGGATTTTTTAGTTATTGAAAACATAACTTTTCCGGTATAACATTGTGCCGAAATGGTTTGACCTGGAAATAGATTCAAAATATTAAACAATTTTTACTACAATATAAATAAATATGAAAAGCGAAAACCACCCATGGTGTTGTGTCCTAGAAATGTTACTTTTCTTCTCAAAATGTCTATTCCGTGTGTAAATGTGTTATCAGGTCACAATTTATTGTGGACAGCAGATGTGGTGAATAAATAAATAGTTGTTCCCTTGAAAGGCAATTGAAAGTAGCAGGAAGGATGGTGGAAGTAGTACACAAAACAAATAATAATCAATTTATTTTTAAACTATTCAGTTGAAATGAAAATCAATTTGAGTTGCTGAGAGAAACAAAAAAAAAATAATAAAAAAACACTAAAATAATAAACAAAACAAAAAGACATTGTTTGTGCCAGAAAGTGAAAAAACTCAAAAATACTGAAACTAAAAACCAAACAGACGCTGTCGCATTTTTCTTTTTATTTTTTTTTTGCGTGTGAAAATGATTTTTTTCACAAACATTTGCCAGCTAAAACGCATGGATGGACCCGCCACATTTGGTGTTCACGTAAGGCGGGTGTGAAAAAATGCGCTGAAAATTAATTTGCAAATATTGACTCACATTGTCAAAATTCAACAAAAGCAAAAAAAAAAAAAAAACATAACCTCCATGGTGTGAATAACCTGAAACAAGGATGTAAAGAAAAAACAAACGAATTGATAAAAAACAAATTATCGAATATTTAAAATCAAATTTATTTATCACAAAGTTAATAAGAAGCTACCAAAAAAAAAAAAAAAAAAAAATTAATGCGACCTCCTGGTTTAGAATGGCCTTGTTCAAAGTTCAATAGAACAAATCCCAGGTGGTAATAACAAAAAATAAAATTAATCTCCGTATACACCCACAAGTGTGAAAAGCCAACCGAATGACAAATGACTCCATAGAGAAATCTAAACTAAATAGTGACCTTAAACTCTAGTTGAACTCATTTGCTTTGAAGCAATTCAACGTTCCAGGTGGAGAAGTTTCCAGCAAAACTTCATTATTTTACGCTGAGCTAAAATAAAACCAAACTATTTTGTCATGATGAAGCATGATGTGATGGTGAAACCCCTACCCGTTAGTGTTAGCAAGGATATAACGAAAAAGAGCCTTTGGAAATCACGATCTTCCTCCGAGACAGCCACGCCCAAGAGCCCCATGACGAAGGCATTCGATTTTCTTCCCTGGTCACGAAGCAAAAAATCCAGTGACAAATCAAGCAAATCTACGGATAGTAAAAATAAAAATGATCTTTCACCCACAAGTGCTGGCAAATCGATTCTCAGTACATCCGCTGAGGACAAAAAGGATGCGGCAAATTATCAACGAAATATTTTTCGCAATGGCGGTGGCCTTATCAAAGATATCTTAAGCGATAAACAGAATAAGGATGAACGACCGCTTAAGAAATCATCGCTGCGTCGAGCCCGCCAAGTTACCTCACGCAATAAGAGTCTGGACATACACGAACTCATAACTTGTGTAGAAAAGGAACTCAACAATGGTTCTGGAGATCAAATGGGCAGCGAAAAAGCACAACATCGTTTTCTCGATGATACATTCATTGAGAATATCATGAGAGCCAAAGAGGCCTATCAAAAGAATCTGCTGGAAGAAGAGCAGCAAGAGGAGGAGGAAAATCGTAGGAGAGAGCAGCATGCAGGTCGATACAGCTCTCGACATGCGGACGATTTCCATGACACCGAAGATGAGTATTTCTATCAACAGCAACAGGAATTGGCTCATCTCTATCCCAATGGTGATGGTCGCAAGTGTCCCAGTGGAACAAACACCGGCAACACCTCTCCAAAACACATCCTGTTCAACGATGAGAACACGGTATATCTCATCAAGAAGGGCCAACCGGTCAACAAATCTCTTAAAAACTGTGATAAAGAACGTAAAACACATACCGAAAACATATTGAAAGCTCGTCTGAAATTCAAGAAAATATCCTCATCCTCCGATCCAACACCGCATGCGGATTATAAATCCACAATACTTTTAAATAACAATCATGTGATAGGCCAGGATAAAATGGCCGCTTCTCGAAGAAGTATTTTGCAGAGACAAATAACTAATCCTGAAGATTACAGCGGCTATAAGCCATGTACTAGTCCCATACAGTTGCGTAAACGATCTCCTTCGGCGGGACGATATCAACAAAATCCGCAACATAAAACAAACGGTGGTGTTTACTCCTCTCCGCCCTTTCAGCGACGAAAATCATTGACCGAAGGTCTGTTGTATGATTTACCCAATACCGCTACCGGCGGCACCCTACTGCATGATAGTGCTGCTGCCGGCAATTCCAGTACTAGCAGTATGGGCAGCGGTGTCAGTGCTACGGGTAGTACAACAGGTGGTATTTTAAACGATCGTTCCCGGGCCGATAAACCCCGCAAGAAACTGTCTTTCCGTGAGCCGGTAGTTGCGGAAAAACGTCGTTCACGTCGTCAAAGTGCAGAGGTTGTGTCCGTCACAACGAACGGTATAAATGTCCAACCCGCCGCCAACAAAACCAATAACAACACATCAAATTCAAGCTGTGATAATTTAGTTAATAGTAGTAGACGTTCAACGCCATCCAATGATGTAACCACGCCGACGGAAGAGGATTTAATGCAGGTAAGGAAATAAACATATCAGGGAGGGGAGAATTAATGTTGGAGGGGCCAATTATATCATGAGCGGTGCCTATTGTGGTATTTGGCTCATCTAACCCTGTGCATATATCTTGAAATTTTTTACGAGTGCCATTCGTACTAACACGATAAAAATGTACTGAAAATTGAATAATTTGTATTGGTGAAACGAATTGATCTAGCATTCTGAAATCGGAATGAGAGTCACTAATCGAGTGCTGGATGGATTTACCCAAAGGGGTTTTGGCAATTCGAACTTTAAGACTACGAAAAGTTCTAAAATAGTACTAAACTTCTAACATGGTACCGTTTGGTATTATGCGAAGGGATAGAGAGAATAACTTGAAATTTGAGGGTGGAAATAAGTTGATATATGAAGATGGTTTTAGAAAATTGTACTAAGTGTGCGAACTGTACTAAATAGTACTAATGTTTGGACAGTTTGATTTAGGGTAAACGGATGAAGCTGGAATTTTAAAATTCTATATTGGAGTCCCTCTTGGCGTTAGGTTTGCTATTAAGAGGTTTTGGAAATGTGTACTACAAATGCACGAAAATAACTAGATAGTACTATATTTGGTACAATTTGGTATTGCGTGAACAGAAAGTGCTAGAAATCTGGAATTTGTTATTAGGGTCGCTGTTCATGTCTGAATATATGGCTGTGGTTTCGGAAGTGTGTATTATAATTGTACGAAATGAACAAAATGGTACTAAATTTGGTCTTAGTTTAAGGAATAGAGATAGAATTCTGAAATTAGGTATCTGAGGTTAAGATTTGGAGCTGGGTTTTAAAATGCGTACTATATTTGTACGAAGAGTAATAAATGGAACTCAATTTGGAAAAGTTTGGTTTAGGGTGAATGGATGATGCTGGAATTTTGTATTGGGGACCCTGCTGCTAGTAGTTTTGTGATAAAGAAATGGGTTTTGAAAGTTGTACTACAAGTGCACGAAAAGTACTAAATAGTACTATATTTGCTATTGGGTGAATAGGTAGTTCTTGAAATCTAAAAATTTGGTATAAGGATCGCTGTTCATGTGTAGCCTGGACATATGGCGGTGGTTTCGGAAATGTTAATTGTACCAAAAGTACTAAATGGTACTCAATCTGGTATTGGTTGAAGGGATAGTGATAAAATTCTAAAATTTGATATTTAGATAACTGTTGATATCTAGGATTGAAATTTGGAGCTTGGTTTGAAAATTGCTAAATAGTACTAAATTTGGTTTGAGTGAAGAAATAGAGCTGAAATCCTGGAGGTGAAATCCTGGAGGTGTATACTATAATTGTTCGAAAAGTACTAAGTGGTACTAAGTTATGTATTAAGTAACGGAATATATCTGGATTTACGAGTGGTTGTAGGGATAGAGATACAATTCTGAAATTTCATATTTTGGGCTGGGCTTGGAAAAGTACTAAGTGGTACTAAATTGGTTATTGCGTGAAGGAATAGAGCTGAAATTCTGAAATTTGATATAGATGTCATTGTTGGTAGCTGGGGTTGAAAATTGGAGCTGGGTTTGGAAATGCGTACCATAATTGTTCGAAAAGTACAAAGTGGTACTAAATTTGCTATTGCGTAAAGGAATAGAGCTAAAATCCTAAAATTTGATATAGATGTCGCTGTTGGTTTCTGTTTTTGATATTTGGTTCTCGTTTTGAAAATGTTCGAAAAGTTCTAAGCGGTACTAAATTGGGAATTGGATGAAGTGTTTGGGCGGGACTTACGAAAATTGATATTGAGGTCTCTGTTGGTCTAGGATTGAGATAAGGAGGTGATTTTGGCAATATGTACCAAAATTGTACAAAAAAGTTCTAAATGAGGTATTGGGTAAAATCATAGAGCTGGAATCCCGAAACTTGATATAGAGGTCCCTATTGGTTTCTAGGGTTTATAATTGGATTTGGGTCCATTGTGCAATGGTTTTATTAATATCCTTCTCGGAAAACTTAAAAATGAAAGATTTTGAAGACTTTATGAATAACATATTAATAAAAATAAAAAAACCAAAATCTGAAAATTTAGAACGACGTATGAAGTTTTAATTAAAAAATGTTGTCAACCTGAACAAATTGTGCATTTTGAGTACTAAAAAGGCATATGGAGTATACGATAACTTGTCCAGTGTCTTTTCAATAACATTCAATAAATCTAGAATCAATGTTTTGGTGAAATTATTATTTACTTTCCATTATTAACTCCTTACAAGTATTAAATAATTTTCCTCTCTCTCTCTTTTTCTTATGTTTCATTCCAGTCTCAGGCCATGCGTATTGTACGCACCGTTGGACAGGCTTTTGAAGTATGTCACAAATTTAATATACACAAAAATTCCCTGGATCATACAGAAGAACGTTCCGATATCTCGTCGTCAGAGCTACTGGATGTTGAGACGCGTTCCGAACAGCACGTCAGCGATGATGATCTTCACAACAAAAAAGGTAAGATGTAATTTCATCGAAATGTTAATATAAATATGGAAATGCATAGCAAAAACAACTCATAATTGATATTCATATAAACAAAAGATCACATCTGCAAAACTTTGTTTATTGGGTCAAAAAATCGAAAAGCCCAAACCTTAAGGTTAATAACTTCAGATGCCATGTCTGTTTATTAACCAATGGAAAATGCGTTTTACATCTACTTATCTGTGCGTCTTTTTCTTATCTTCTTATTACAAAGAAAATAAATTTCCTTTACATTACGCTTGGCGGTAATTACCGAGTTTTCATATGCAGACAGGAAGTGTGGAACTTGTACATTGCACACACACACACACATACACTCACAAACACACACATATTTTCGCCAATGTTTTTGGAACTTTTAAATTTCAAGATGGAAAATATGACGAATAGGAAATATGGTATATGTATGTATATTCTTATCTAGGAAATTACATATACAAATCTCTTGATATTCCATACATTTTATGAATGTACGTGTGTGTGGATAACCTGAAATTGATGAGGTCATATTTATCTTGTAATGCATTCACACATTTTCTCTAATGATGTCCTCAAGCATGTCATAAATGTGTAATTTTCTAATATCTACATGCGGTCATCTCAATAATGTCTAATATTTTGAGGTTATCACAGTGGAGGATATTTCACTTCATATTCAGGATAAACAAGAGAAAATGACATAAATGTCGGCATAAAATCGAATTTTTGATACCCTCCACCATGAGGGATAAGCAAGTTATTGAAAATAGCAGCGCTGAGATTTAGCATCACCAATGAAGTTTGTTATGGAAAAGTGGTCAAAAATTTGGAAATATTATAATAAAATTAAAAATATTGTATAAAAAGTATACACCGAAAAGTGGGCACAGTGGGCCAACTTCTAGGAACATAAAATCCGAATTTACAAACAGTTAGAGTGGTACTGTCACATTTATAGTTTTATCTTAGCAGCTGTAGAAGCTTTATCGGCTGTAGAATCCTTCAAAATACCGAATATAGGGCGGTATCGTTATATGGGGGCTATACTGCTCATACATTAAAATATGTGAATTTTTCTACAAACCGGTAGGCCCAGCCACAATTTTTAACCAAAGTAGTAAAGAGTTGGCCCTTTTTTTGTTTCCGGCATTTTACGGATCCAATCATCCTTTTTCTTCTTTCGCAGTGGATTTTGTGCCACATATAGACTATATCAGGTACTCGATTTCTTTTATATCACATATATGTATGCCTTTTTTTGAAAATAATAAGTTGTGAGAAATCTTTAGAAAATCGGACAATTATATAAGATTTTTAGCTTTTTTGGGGAAGCCACAGAAATGAATGAACAAAAATATTGGGTATTTTCCATCATCTAAATTCACCGATGTGCCAATGTTGAACTATATCGAGTACCTCCTTTGGCTAAAGGAAGATTTTTCTATTTATTGCCATATTTTTGAAGTGCTGTGTTGTTGTTGTGCGGATGTGGTAAGGGTATTATGTCTTTGTCCGTCTGTCCATGTATTTTTGTGATCAAAATTATCCGATAGAGATTTAGATGAACCCTATTGAAATTGGTGGGAATCGGTTCAAAGTTAGACATAGCTCTCATATATATTTATCCGATATAAGTTTTATTGTTTTTATTATAAATGATCCGAATTTTGGTACATCGTGCACAAAATGACTTCATATAGAACCCATATTACGATATTCCGAATTTGGATGATGTTGGCGACATTATTCACCGGAATTGTTTCAAATTTAATATTTGTAGTTCGAAATAGATTCTATAGCCTAATACAGAAAATTGTCTGTCTGGTCTACGTCTTCGTATAGTCCCCATATAACGGTACCTCCCGATATTCCATATTTTGATGATTTTAGCATTATTATTCACCGGAATTGTTTCCAATTTGGTATTTGAAGTTCGTCATGGGTATTACAGCCTATGACAAAAATTTTTATATGCAGGTCCACGTCTTCGTATATCCCCCATGGAACGGTACCTCCTGGTAGTAGGTATTTGACGATTTCAGCAACATTATTCACAGGTATCGTTTCAAATTTCGTACTGGAATTCCTAATGGGTACTACTGCCTATGACAAAAAATGTCGTATACAGGTCCACGTCTTCGTATAGTCCCCATATAACGGTTTTCATTTAAGTGGTAGTTTTCGGTTTTTTTTTTTGAAATTTTTCAATTTCCTTCGGAATGGTGGAGGGTATTAAAAGTTCGGCCCGAACTTACCTTCGTATTTTTTTCGCAAAATTTTGAAAATTTATGGGGATACAGATTTCACATATTTGGTGCCGATTTCACATATATCTGATGCCCCAAATACGATATATATGTACTTTTCCAAGGAAATTTGAAATCAGTGACGGAATTCGGTACAAAAATGAATTTGTGAAAATAAATTAAAATATAGATACCATATATTATTTCCATTCAAAAAAAAAAAAAAAAAAAAAAAAAAAAAAAAAGAACGTATCCAATAGCGATCATAGGTGGTATGATTTCTTTCACACAAAATTCTCAATATTTATATATATTTGTTACAGGTAGTACTAAATATAGAGAATGGTGTAGGATAATATAAAATAGGACCCACCCGTTCGTTTTGATACAATAAAATTTCTAGTAGATAAATTTATCATTTTCAAATCTTTGTAATAATTTTACGAAATTCTTTCACTGCAACATTATCTGTCTTAAAAACGATTTTAAGTGGCCCACAATTACCCAGACATTGATAACAGTAATAATGAATATTGAATTTCAATTTAATAACTTCTGCCTCATTTGGAAATCTTACAACTTTAATTGTGTGCAATTACAATAAGCAGTTTATTGAACACTAACTGATACGTACACACAACAACCTATATCGAATACAAGCCGTACTACTAATTGGCATAGCTTACATTTTCAATTTGTACAAAACAATTTTTAAATTTAATGGCTCCCATATTTATTCCCATTTTTAAACATCTCTGGAGGATGTTTAAAGCTCAAATTGGCGTCAAGGTTTTCTCTGAGACCAGATCACGACAAATTATGGTCCCCTCCATTAAATATGCACATTTCGTTTAATATCGGTTTTCATGTCTTTTGTTAAACACGAATTATGACATTTTTCATAGCTTTTCCCCTTTTAACTGCTGACATTTATTAGAAGTACGTGAAATACAAAAAAGAAGAGAAAAAAACATTATTCACGTCAAATCAACACCAGGAACACAAGCTCAACCATGTCAGACACAAGAGTGATTTGACAGTGGCATGGCACTAATACAGCTTTTTAGCATCATCATCACCAACACCACCAGTAGAATGCTTTTAGCTCAACATTCACCCACCACTCCCACTATTGTTGGATGTAGGGAGGATATTTCTTTCTTCATTTTTATTTTGGTCCAAAATTTTCTCGTTGTTGTTGCTGGCTTTCTTCTATTTTTACAACAGACTGTATTTTATTTTAATGGCTTTTTACGCCTCAGACTGGCCATAAAAAACCCTCCTATTGGGTCCTTTTATTGCAATGTTTGGTGTCAGCAGTAATTTGTTGCACGTCACGCCATGGCATGACACTCTTCAGTAGCTCGAAATCAATTTTCACACATGCAGCATTTTTTTTTAACACAATAATCAGTTTATAGGTTTTTAAAAACCTGATCGTAAAATCAACAATTTACATAAACTGGCGAGATTGAGGAGATTTTTTTCGGTTTAATTCTATAGAATGTGTACTTATCGAATTATGTGGCACGATACTTTAAAGAAAAAATGTTTAATGTAAAGAATATTCAAAATCAGCAATTTGTAGTTAAGCTTTTATGCAAACATAAAAATCAAAAAAAAAAAAAATAAATAAATAAAACAACGAGGAGATACTGTAATAGGATAATGATAAAATAATAGAATCTCTTATATTTTAATTTAATAATCGAATTATAAAAACTCAACAATAATTAAATCCAGTAAGGAATTTGCAAAATTTTGGGAATTTTTGTAAAGTAAATCATACCTACAATGGCCGTTATTGAATGCATATTACGGCTTTGAACCAAAATTCAACCTAATTTAACAATAGTAGCCATATTGAAGCATTCTAAGCTGTATACAGGGTAAGATAAAAAACTGCAACCAAGTCAAACGACATAATTTTTACATTTTTTTAAATTTTATTGAATGAAAGCAAAAAATGTCGGAAATAGCATAAAATTTTAGAATACGTTTAGATTAGATCGAATTGGTCACCATTGGCACGAATTATGATCTTCAAAAGGCCAATGGAACCGTCACACACCGAATGTTACTCTGCGGTATTTAGGCCCATTCCCGGCCAAGCACTTGCTTGAGGTGATCGACACTTTGATATTTTTTAGTGCTAACATAGCTTTTCGAAATCCTTCAGACACAAAAGACCAACGGATTGGTATCCTACGATTTTGGTGGCCATTGTGCCAATGAAGCGAGGAACCTCATTTAATAACCATGCTTGGGCGGCGCGTGCTGAGTGCGAGTCCTGTTGGAATCTCCAAGGTCTGCGGCCAAAATGTTTGCATGCCCAAGACTCCAGAATATTTTCGCGATAATATTCGGCATTTATTCTGATGCCACGGTCGTTTAAGACGAGCGGAGAGCGACCATCAGTTGTTATGGGGGCCCACACCATCACCATGGCCAGCGCTTGAGTTCTGGTGCCCAACCGAAAGTTCACATTTTCCGCTGACCTCTTTGGCAAGTGAACACGATCATTTTGTTTGTTTACAAACAGTTGGACAACGAATGTTTTCTCATCGGAGAAAACCAAATTCGGCAGTTCAGCACTTTCAACCAAGCGAAGCAGCTCTTTAGCTCTTTTGAGTCAACTTTCTTTCAGTTGCGGTGTAAGTTTTGCACTTTCTGGAATTTCAATGGCTTTACCCGAGCTCATTTTTCAGTATTTTCCGAATGGAATATTGCGATATGTTCAGCTCA